GAAGCCAATCACTCAGCTGTTTTTCTCCTGTAAGCACCTTGTCACCCTCTCCCAGCCAGGCCCCCCCAGCTCGTGCAGCACATCCTACTGCACTCACTGCCAGTGACTCCATGGGACACGCAGACTGGAGAGTCCAAAGTTAACAGAGATCCTCTTTTCTCTGTTTAAGATCTTCCCAGTGGAACAGCACTGATGCCTCTGTGTGAGCACAGCTGCTCTCAGGTCGCATACCAAGCAGTTTATCTGGAATTAAAACACATACTTCATATCTGAAAAATCCTTACAATACACCTGTACTCACCAAGTACATTTCTTCTGCAGTTGGTGTCAGAACTGGCAATGCTATTCAGTTCCAGGAGAAACAATGACTGAACCTGGAATGCTCCTCTAGCCTAGTCAGCTTTGCCGACTCCTCTGCTCCTTTCCAAGTACTGCACCAATGTACAATCAGGGAAAGACAAGTCTCCTGGCTGAGGAAAGGGGCAAGATGAGCAGGTGCCATGAAGGATTCAACATGTCCAAGTATTTAAAGTTTGGTTTGCAGTTCTTCAGCTTTTGCTATTTGTTTGTCTAGGATCAATATATCATGCCCTCCCCGAAAAAAGAAGGATTACTAAAATCCAGTGAGATTTTATAATGGGATCAACCACAACTGTCCCTTGGTTCAACAGCAATTCTCTCTCCATTAATGCCTTCTAAGCATTATCATGTTCGAGACATAAATGATTCAACTCATGATATGTCAGTTTTGTTGTGATTTCCAGGATAAAGTTTTATTATTGCAGAGACCTACTTAGACACATTTCTTAACTGCATTTTTAGGCTTTGAAGTGTGCTGCAAGTTCTGTGCTTTCCCATGGCTGGGGAAAAAAATCCAACCCATACCTGGATTCAATTAGGGAGGAAAAATTTAAATGTTCAATATGTTTTATGCTTCCAGCACCCCTAGGATAGCATCCAGGTTTCTTCTGAAGCACCAGTCATCTTTATCTTCCCATTAATTTCAATGGTAAGAGCCTGGGCTGTGCCTCTCAAGTATGGACGAATTTCAATTTAACCTTCACCTTCAACGCTTGGAATCTCTCCATGGTAATGGCAGATTTTGAAAACCACTCCAGTGCTCAGGCCTGTGGAGCTCATCTCCTCCCTCCTCCCCCCAGCCCTTCCAGCTTACTGAAGGAAATGAGAAAGAAAGTTGTCTTACCGATAACTCCAAGGTCCCCTGCGAACCCCACCTAGCAAGTCGACATCATGACATGTCAGGTCAGCCTCAAGCACGCTTCCCTGATAGTCAGGTAAAAGGAAGGAGTTAAAATACAAAATTGACACTTGCAGATTTCTGGACATCAGAAAATGTGATGCAATATATTCTGAACTGTCTCAGAGCTTCTGGTAACCTCCAAGTTGTTAAAACATTTCTTCAGAGGGTTCTCCTGTTCTAAAATTTCACAAGTTCCTGGATCAATAACCAAGTATTGCAGATCCACCTTGACTAGCTTGTTTGAATAAGACCAAAAGCTTAAGGTTTCCCTGTAACGCAAATGAATTTTTCTCCCTACTCTACACATTTTATCAACTAATATATACTCAACCTAACCCCTCCGGGTTTCAAAAGGCAATTTTAGCCAATAAACTACAACAGCTTCATTTAAATTCTAAGTTAACAGAAGCTCTAACTTCTTGTTGTAGTTTGATGAATGTTTGAATAAGACCAAAAGCTTAAGGTTTCCCTGTAACGCAAATGAATTTTTCTCCCTACTCTACACATTTTATCAACTAATATATACTCAACCTAACCCCTCCGGGTTTCAAAAGGCAATTTTAGCCAATAAACTACAACAGCTTCATTTAAATTCTAAGTTAACAGAAGCTCTAACTTCTTGTTGTAGTTTGATGAAAAACAGGAACACAGTACACTCTTTACTCTTTCTATAAGGCTCTGAGCTGCTCATGTTGGCACGTGACCGAACGCCACTGGCAACCTCCATCGCACGAGCAATCCCCAACCACACACAGCTCCACCTCGAGCCCTGTGTGAGCGAAGGCTGCTCAGGGCAGGGGTGTAGGACAGGTCCTTGCTGCTCTACGGATGGGCCACCAGCACTTTTGGGTGACAATTAAGTCATTAAGTCTTGCTGAAAACACATCTGCAGTAGGGTCTGAGGTCTTGGTACGAAATGTTTCAGTCAGAGTTGAAGACTTTGTGCAACACTTCCCATTTATTTCCCTGCTAGCCTTATAATAAGAGTGCCCTCAGTAATTTTTTTCTGTGTAGTTCAGAATACAGCAATGGGCTTCATGTCCAAATGCAGAGAGGACAAAAAGTGGTCAGGTTTGTACAGAGTCACCAAAATCATGTGGTGATCTTCTACTTCGAGTTTATTTTGGAAAGGTTTAAGCAATGTGGTTGTCACTCTATAATAAACAGACTACACCAGCGGAGGAGACCTGAAAATAAACATTTGCTATAAAAAAAATTAAACTTTTAACATTTTGAAAAAAGGCAAGCTATGTTGAATGAATTAGCATAATTAAGTTTAGCAAACTGAATTTGTTAATAAAGTGAAATTGAGTCTATGATAACACAATAGCTGTAAGAATATTTTGCTCAAGTTTTGGAACTGCTCAGAATCTGGTGACCTACTTATTTTTAAGTCAAACACCTTATGAATACAGTCATTTAAGCAACTGCTATAAATGAGTGATCAAATGATTATTAAAATCCCATTCATGGCTCCTCCTCCAACGCCAGCAGGACACTCATAAAAGTCAAATACTGGTTTGCAAGTTGAAAACCACTTTCAACATCCTATAGAGGATTTTTGCTAAGTTATCCTGAAGAAATGATCAAAACATGCACAAGAGTAAATTTAAATTTTTGTTTTGACTATATATCCAAATTGTGCTGAGAAATTCTTCTCTTGAGTCAAGCATGGCAGAGTTTCCCCCTGTGCTGCAGTATCTTTGCTCAATGCCTTTTGCTCAGTAATTTCATTAAGTTCTCAAGCTCAGCAGACACCACTACTCCAGTGAGCTGTAGCACACATCATACTTAAGGATTCAGTAAAGCACTGCTGCAAATCTCAGTGGTGAATCTGAGTAGCCACAAACCATGTCAGTTGAAGAACTTGGTGCTTCTTCTAAGGATAAAGTTCACTGACTTAAATTTTTATGGTTCTCAATTATAAAAATGTACAGTTCACTTGTCATATTTAACCAAAATATTAGTATAAATGGTGTTTGGGCAGAAGCAAACACAGGATGCAGCTGTACAGTTCTGGAGGAAGACAACTTTAACATTTCTGTTTCCCAGCTGTTCTGTAAGCTCTAACTGAGGTGGTTTCACTCCCTCCCCATTCCCCCCCAGGCACCTCACCTGTCCTGGCTAAGAGGAGCAGTATGGAACCACCACCTTTGTTCTGGGCTGGAGTACTGTCAGTGTGATCCCAATTAAGTTCCCTTGGACCACACACCACCTTGACAAAAATAACTCAAAAAGCCAATACCTATTGGGACTACAGGGTTCTGCTCAGCACCAAAAGCTGTGTAGCTACCAGAGAGTCATCCTGACAGGGCAACAAACCTTGGTGTTAGAACAGAATTACAAGCCAGATCCTTACCACAAGCCAAAGCCTGAAGTGCAGACCCAGGCAACAGCCCTTTGAGTTCACTGCTCAGTAAAGAACAGAGAGGACAGGATTTGGTCCCATTAACTTTATGAATTTAAAAAAAAGAAAAAACCAAAAAGGGCTTTAACCTACTAAATACTGATTTTCTGAAAAAGTACTTTTAAGTTATTTATGACCAATTCTATTAATTTGAAGTGAAGAAGCTAGCACAAATGCAAACCCATTTTGGAGCAGCAGATAGACATCTTCAACTGAGGTCAGAACTCAAACCCTGCAATCCCATTCCAGATCCACAGCAGTGTGGGGAGGCTCAGCTTACTGGGTACATTCTGACATAACACACTTGAGACACCAGACAGGAATAGAAGACAAAGGGAGGAGTATGACCACTGAAGTTTAACTTCCTCAATAGTCTGTGTTTGGAATGCTGTAAATCACGTATGAGCAATGCATTGGATTTGGATATTTAGAGGTCCAGCAATAGTTTTCTTTAGAGAAAGTATAAATCCGTTTGTTTCTCTCTTTTCTTGAGAAGCAAATGTTCTTCATTGGGGTACAGAATGGCTTAGATGCAACACAAGAGTAATGTCGTGACTTGCCAGTTAAAATTGACATCTGGAATGTCCAAGACAAGGGTCAAAGCAACATATAATACCCCAATAATGCAGTTAGCAATGCCCCCAAAAGATACTATGTCTTTTTTTTAAAACAGCCTTTATTCCAAGGCAGGAGAATTCTAAGGCAAATTGTTCATCATGGCAGAACATCAAATTAAAATGTCAGACAGAAATAAGCAGAATCTGGAGAGTATGTTCGTGTTATCCGTAGCAAGAAGTTAGGTGCTGTGGCACAGTAAACTAAATTATAATTCTCATTCCTAGTCAGATATTATTTTAAATTGGACTAAGATGCTCAAATTCAAATGATTTCCCTGTGTGTTCGTACACTGAATTACACAAGGCTGGGTCCTACCAGAACAGCCTCCACAGGGACTGCACAGAATAGAATCGAAGCACAAAATTAACACCATTGTAGGCTCTGCTTCCTTCTCCACATTACATTAGAAGACTAGGTTTAAATTAGAGCTCTGGGAATGCTTGGATACAATTCAACACTTCAATAGGAAAAAAAAAGTTTCAAAATTAGATGCTGGTGAGTTACTGAACAGCAATTAAACAGAGTGCCTTTTGGGCTGCCTGTAATTTCTCCTAGCTTTCAGTCTGATGTCCACAGTGCTACATGTTGGAAAGCACAGGAAATTTGCATGAATTTGATCACTCACATAGGCAGTTATACTTTGAAAACAATGTTTTTCACAAGGATTACCAATGAAATAATGTTTTAGGACACAATTGAATTTGAAATAGGTAATGTTTTGAATAGATTTTTGAGTTTTATTGAAATCTTACATGAACAAGAAATTGGAAATACAATCACATCAAGGAACAAATTGCCACGGCTTTGACGTTTTAAGCCAAACAAATTTTGTAGGGCAGATTTTCAAAAAGGTGTGAAGTTATAACAATTTAAAAACACAGTTAACCTACTTCTAGGAATGCAAAACATACAATCATGTTATTTTCAATACAAGAAAACTTAATTTGTTGTAATTTCTTAAAACTACTAAGACAAAGCACTAGCTTTTACTTTTATGTACAGCATACTCCTATGTAGTCTATCCCAAATCCAAAAAAAAAAAAGGAAAAAAAAAAAACTGTCCAAAACCAAGGGTTCTGCAAAATCATGATAAAACAGTTTTTTTTTTTAAACTGCTAAAATGAAGCCTAAAATGATAAAAGCATTGGAACCCCATATGGAGTTCAGGAATTCTGCAAGCCCAGTAAGGTCCAAGTGCGTTTATGAAAAAAGAAAACTAATAGACTAGAGTATATACACAATAGTGATTCTTCAGCCCAATACAAATGGCAGCCAATCGCTACTGAAGGATGAAACATTAAGCCAATTTTGTTTTGAAGGATGGAGAGCTATAGCCAATTCTATGTTTCCAATATTCTCAATCCCTCCTCACTTGTCTACTTCCACTGTTGCCCATAAGTATCCTGATAAAATTCCTGGTTGTCATTATTGTAACCATAGTTACCGGCATAGTCACCACCTTGCTGGAGCGGCTGCTGCGCGATGGGTTGGGAGCCCCAGTTCTGCTGGTTGTTGGTCTGGCGGCGCTTGGAATCGGGTTGGTTGTACCCATCTGCCTTTCTCTTGCCTCCTACGTTGCCCCCGCGGTTGCCCCTGGCTCCGCGCGCGCGTCCTCTCTGCTGCTGCGCGGGGCCCCCTCTCCCCCCCCTGGCTCCTCTCGGCGGTCCCATGGGTGCCCCCCTCTGTGAGTAGCCAGCTCTACCTCTTGGTGGTGGTGCTCCCCGCCCCCTAGGTGGTGGAGGAGCACCTCTCCCACCCCTTCCTCCTCCTCCTCTTCCTCTTATAGCATAGCCATCATCATAGCCGTAATAGGGATCTTCGTAGCCACCACGGTAGTCATGATAGTCATAACCATAGTAATCATCGTAATAATCTTCATAGCCATAGTAATCTGGGGGATAGCCATATCCACCTCTCCCTCCACGGCCTCGGCCTCTAATAGGAGGTGGCATGCGAGGTGGAGGGTAGTAATAATAGTCTTCATACCTAGCAAGAAGAAGAAACACACAATTATTAATCTCCCAAAATAAAGTATACATTTCCCCTTGTTGATTAACAACACACATCACAGAGAAAAGCCAAGTCAGGTCACTCCGGCCCTGCCAGCCCAGCCCACGTTTCCAGCAGAGCCGCAGCGGGCGGCGTTACCGCGGCGCAGGTGACACTCACGCAGTGCTCCGCGAGGCCTGTCTGGCAGCCTGACGTTCTTTCCTTTTCTTATCCGGTGGCTTTGCTAACACTATTTCAATTTCTTCCCCTTCTATCTCTTTCCCATTCATTTCATTCATAGCCTGTGCAAAAATCAGAAGAGAAAGGTCTGAAAATTTATTTCCATTCCAAAAGGAAACAAACTTACTGAAAGAGACCAGAGGGTTGGGCTGCTCCAGGCTGAGCTGTGCACTTTGCTTCTGCCCTAACAAAACGGAATGTTACACATTACTCTGTCAAGACCCACTTTGTTCACCAGCTAACACTGCACAAGCATTTAGAAAAAGCATTCTCTTTATATCATAAGTTTCAAAACAATGTGATTAAAACATCTTAAGCATTACTTTTAAAAAGTCAGACATAACACCACCACTTTTTATGTTCCTATATTCCCTAGAGACCTTTCAGAACCACATAAGTACTCACTACTCAAGCCGACAAACGCACTGTACTTGTAGGTCCTGTAGAGCACATGCACACAAGAGAAAGGATTGTTACATCTGGGATTCCCAGCTAGCTGCATGTGAGGGAAATGCACTGAGAAAGTCAAGGATTTCTGAGACACATCCTTGAGGGGGAAAAAAGGTTACTGAAACGTAGTAATCTCATCAAGAGAGTCAAGAATCCTCCAGAAAAGTAAGGTGCAGTTTGTAACTATCAAATGCACCCACAAAGAGAAGTGAACACACATGGACAAAGGATACTCAGGACTACACCCCCAATGCCTCACCTGGAGTTAGCTGCTCTGCATCAAACACTTCTGGGCACTACTGTTTGCATGAACAAAGGCTTTACATGTCTGTACAGCTGTGTGCCTCAAACTTGTTAGAAATCATGGCAGTTTATTTCCAAGAAGGTATGAAAATAAACAGACACTGGAATCAATAAGACAATTCCATGCATGCATTCCACACACAAACACCGTAACGAGCTCGTTAAAAAAACACACCCATACACCACAATATCTCACAACTTTCATAAACCAACCTAGTGGCTATGAAGCAGCCACAGGGGGCAGATGTGGCAGTTGCTGGCCTGGCTCAGAGGAGATGAGCATTAGTGATGCGTTTGATCTGTCTTTTCTTATCTACTAGAAGTTTCCAGTTGCTGAAATCAGAGAGCATTTAGCACGAAGGTCCACTGGGAAGGGGCTAGAGAGGACTTATAGACATACTACGAAAAACTATGTCCAGAGGTGTTGCTGACTTACCTTTTCTGACAACAACTTCTTGCCCTCCCTTGGACACGGTCTAAACCTATCCAAACAGACCTCCACCTCACTAAATACAAGCAACACTCACCCTACAGCCAAACTCAAGAGTATTCCAAAACCTAATCTGGTGGGTAGGAAAATTGTAAGCAATTAAATGGCTATAAAATCATTAATAAGGTTGAGTACAGAGCCTCTGAAGTGTCTGTGTAGCCACATACACCACACACAATACACCTGCTTCAAGGTGCAAAAACCACTTCCTCCTCTCCTTTCCCCCACAACTGTGGCTTTTAAAACCAGCTGGACTCATTCTGTAGTACTCCACACACTGAAGCAGAGGCAGCAGATAATAATGACCACCTCAACAGCTCATGGGCACAAAGGAAGAGAACCCTGAAGCTTACAATAATGACCTTCAACATTTAAGGAGTCATTGAGAAGAAACCTTCTGGGGCACCTGCAGAGTTAAGACACAGGTAATGCATTCAGGAGTTGCCAGCATCGCTCTGCTTACCTTCACAAGGCATTTTTTGATTACCTGGCAATTTCTATTGGATGCTTTTGTCAATCCAAAACTACAAACAGCCTTTAAACAGGGGTCAGAGACAACTGATACCTTCTGCCAGTGTTTCCTCAGAAAAATTCATCTAGGTTGATCGTATTTTATACCTCTTCTCTAGGCTCACCTGCATTGCTCTACACCTCTTTTCCAGTCTACTTGTTAACTTGCTACCGTTTAGTCCTTTTTTCAAGCTGCATATCCTCCTAAGCTACTGCAATCACAGGAACAAAATTATTAGCATGAAAATTCTCACAATGGGAACCTTATCCAATGGGCTCTACAGATTGTCTTATCGAGGCATTTATGGTAAAGTAAGTTCTAAAAACCATTTGTACAAGACAAACGGCTCACACCAACTTAGCTGGGAAAGAACCATCAACTTACCTTCACTGCCGCTCCTCTGTCCTCAAAATGAACAAAAGCATAATCCTTCAACTTCTTTACTCTTTCCAGCTTTCCAAATTCAGAAAAGGATTTCTCAAGGATTTCTTCTGTCACAGTAGTAGCCAAGTTTCTTACAAACAAAACTTTTACCTGGTGAAAAAATGAGAACAAAAGCTGCAATCTTTAAAAGTCAAACCTCAAAGGAAACTACCAGCTAGCAAGATGATATTCCCTTCTTCATGGCATTAGGAAATTTTGGCTAAATTTAATTCTGCACCTGCTTAAAGCAAACAAAAAAAGTGCTTTGTAGTTACCTGCATGAAGTTTCTACCACTTCCCTCTTTCCACATTCCCTTCCATAACCAGGAGAATATCCAACTTTGATTTTCTGCTTCTGGGATGCTACAAATCCCAGTAAAACTTTATTACTAGGCCTCAAGGACAGCAAAGGATTACCCCAAAACACTGGGGTAAAGAGAATGTCATTGCCCGCACTGAACTTCACCTTCATCTTGCTCTGGGAAATAGTTGTTCCACAATCCCCACAACACTTGCTCTAGGCCCAGCAGACAGTGCACAGCCTGATATGCCAATCCAGCAGGACAGGATCACCCTGCACACTGCTGGTTTACATCTGCACAGCAGTTACTAACAGCATGTTCCCAAGGTATTCCAACGGCAGCTCCGCCATGGGGGTTTCCATGGCTCACTGTGAAATGCCCTCTAACTGCTTTGGGTGCCTCAAAACCAGCACTGCACAGCTGGAACAAACCTTCCTTACTATGGCATAATGCAATTCCTTCCAAAGCAGAGGAGCACCCAGTGAAGTCTTCACTGACCTTTGCCATGACTTCTGGATCAGGTTCCTCTACTGGATCAGCCCATTCCACTGTCACAACATTTCCCCAGACCTTTACTTTGCCACTCATGAGGCGCCGGCGAGCCTGTGCTGCTGACTTGTGATCCTCATACTCCAAGAAGCAGAATCCTCGATTCTTCTTTTTATCATCAGGTTGATGATACAAGATTACATCCACCAAACCCTCTGAAAAACAGGTCTTTAGTATGGAGTTTCAAAACAAAAGGAAAATAATGAAATCTAAAAGGTCTTTAGTATGGAGTTTCAAAACAATAGGAAAATAATAAAATATAAGGTCTACCCTCAAATGCCTTCACTTGGGTTTTGTAATGGATTTGAATATAACACCTGTAAGGTGATGGGAGCACCAGAAAAGCAAACAAGTAACAGACAGGCATTCAATTTACCCAGAAAGAGGTCACCCAGCAGGTGAAATTCTGCAGGACAAACTTACCTCACAATTAGGCACTGCAAAACATCAACCTGAGCAGTTCACACAGTGTAAGTTCTCTACACTTTCACAGCTCTGAAAAGCATCAGCACTAACTCGTGGCCTCTCCCCTGCCTCCCAGGAAACCAGGATGGAAGTTCTGCCACATCTCTCCAAAGAGAGGACAAAGAACTAAATGAATATTCACCTTCTGTTTTCACCACTTCCCTCAAGTACATATAAAGAGCAATCCTAAAAGAAGCAGGAGGTGACAACTCTCCTAGAGGAACAAGAGCAACTGACTCAATCTCTAAAGCAGAAGAACCCTTCCAGTGATGAGCTGATGACTCTTCTACTTGCCGCACATACTGGGGAACAATGCTGAAAAACTGGGACAAAAATGAGTCTGTCATTAATTATTTCCATAATGATATTCCCTCTAAACTGATTTAGTACTCCCTCCTCTCCATCACTGTTCAGCTATACAATTGTTTCAGGGTCCCCAAAAACCTCAGTGGTGACAGCAGAAGCTCCTGTAGAACCAGTAACAAATGCAGAGCCTTCAAGAGAAAGCTACAAGAAGCAACAGAATCAGGACCTTGATTTTTTCTGAGTTCATTTGTGCTGCTTCCATCTCAAATTGCAAACTTACATGATTCATTTAACAATCAGTGAAACAAACACAAGTCCCTTCACACTCTACCATAACATATATTTCATATATAAAATTCCTACAAAACCAAACTTGGAATCAGCTTGGAAACAGTTTAAATGATATCTGATCACATCTGACAAACAACTAGACAAAACAGAGACACCAAATGGTATTTTGGGGTTATGTGAAAAACTCCTTAAGTCTTACCTGTGACTTTACCAAACTCTTCCAGTATGTTTTCCTTAGTCTTGTTCTTTGGAATTGACCCAACAAATAACCTGTTGTTTGCCACAGAGATGCATACTCCAAGGTGTTTTCCAGGACGGATTTCATAGTTGTCACACTGCCAACAATAAAAAGCCATTAATTTGCTTTATCCACAATACTATGAATAAAAATATCCCCAAATCATAAAATCAGGTATTTTCTTCACCATCTACTACCTTTACACACAGCATATGGAACTGGCACTGCAAGAGAATTACCTGAATTACCAGAACTAGAGTTTTTGTGTCAGCATTCACTTGGAAGAACAATGCCAAGATTAGGACTGCCACAAACTTCAGAAGTTGTGCTGAATGGAAAGCCACAAAACACCTGATGTACAAGGAACAACATGTAACAGACAGAGATTGCCTGTGGTAAATTCATTCACCTACTGGTTATCTCAGACTCAAAAGAGCTTTCTAGACAACTGGTGACTGCTTCCTGTGCTGGAAGTTCCTGTCAGTCATTGCTGCTGCTACCAATAAACAAATACATGGCATGACAGATACTGAGAGTTCTTCCTCTTTCCTCAGGTAGCTTTAGAACACTGAGCATATTTGCTGAGATACTCAAAAGTCTCAGTGTGTGACCATTTCCCCCCACCCCCAACAGCAGGGAGCTTTTTTGACCTCATACATGCTAGAATTAAAAATTTCACTGTTAAGTTCCAAAACTTCTATTTAAAAAAAAGGCAAACAACCTACAGCTTCATGCCTGCACCCACAGCTGGATTACTCTGATCACCAGGACTCTTAATAGGTCTTTAAAGGTACTAGAGTTCAGCCTTAAAAAAAATAGAAATTCAAGACAAGTATCATGCTCGTTTCAGGCAGGATTTTCCAACACGGCAGAAAAGGATGGCTATTGGATCATCAGTCAGCTTCTGGAAGTCTCAATTCTTTAAAAGCAGGTTTTCAGCCTTTCTAATCCTAGCTGAGACACCAACTGGAGCAATGTTAAGGTACCACAGACTATCAGACAAGATCACTCTAAGGAAGGCAAAAGCATTTCAGAATTTTACTTCACATAGAACAGTAATTCCTAACACAGTGACACTGTGTGTTCTGGTGCCATGAACTTACAATGTGAAAAGCAGATTCAGGTCACCTTATCCTATGCAGAGCCATTTTACTGACAATCAACCCCATGCCCACTGGTACCTGCAAACACAAGCAGAGGCCCCACCAGGTGCAGAGAAACCAAGACTTTGAATTTCAAGGGGTTTTTTTTGGAAGAACCATACCTTACTGTCAAGCTCCAAAATTCCACATGTGCCCCACTTTCCTCTACCCCAGTAGTCTGTGGAAAATACTTCACCCAAATACAAGTCTGGCCCCATTACTGGATAAGGGTAGAGTGGGAGAAGTAAAGGGAAGGGACTCCAGATACTGGACTTCAGGAATGCATTTGCACACATTCCCTTATTTGGTGCCATAACCAGGTATGGAGGCCACTCTTCCACCACTGGCACATCATTTGCCACATCTCCCATCACTTCAATGTCTCCCCTCTGGTGTCCCTCAAACAGAAAAAGATTAAAGCAACTACTGAGTGCCCTGACCTCAGTCAAAAAAAAACCCCAAACTTTCAAAATAATTTTCCTTCATTCATATTCACTGATCCCAAAGACTGAAACCCAGAAACATCTCTAGGAAACATCCAAGTAGGTTCTAGAAAGAAAAAAGCAGCTTCAGCAGAGACATGCAATCCCCAGTCCTTAACCTAGAAACCGCAACTATTTCTAAATACATTTAAATATGAGGAAACAGACACAGAGCACATTAAGGGCAATGACTCCTGAAGCCTTTACAATGCAACACAACTGCTCTTAAGGTTCCAGGCTCCCTGACCCACCAGCTTAACTAAGGTGTTTAGCTTTTCCTTCCTTCTTCATACAGGATCAGCTGAATTCTGCTAAGGCAAATGAGGTAAAGCATTGCACCTGTTTTAGTTCCAAGTTCACAGTATGTCACAGCCCTATCCAAAACCTTGGGAGATACACACTGATCTGCCTAATTCTACCTCCTCCTCTCAGGCAGAGGTGAGGCCCCAGCCAGATTGCTGCTTCTCCCTCTAACAACACAGGGACCACTGTCAACCCCTAGGCACTGCTCCATGTCCCAGCTGCAGGTGAGCCCAGTTCCCAAGCAGTGAGCAGACTGCACCACTGCCACAGGAGAGAATGAAAGGCCACTGTGAACTATCAAAAGCACCGAGTCAGAGAGCTCCTCCATGACAGGAACAGCTGAACAAGGCATCTCCAGTAAGCTCTTTGCAGCAGTAAGGGCAGTGAGACAAACATCGGTGAAAAAACATACAGTGAGGCTCAGGGAATGTATTTTCCAGCTGGAATCAAGTATGCTCTTACCACAAACACCCGAGTGCTCTGGCAGGCTGCAGCATGCTACAGCAGATCAGTCCCAAATATCTGCATATACTGAATGAAATCAGGAAGCAATTTTTAAGAAAGTAAAATTGAGTCTGTCAATAGATACTTTAATGGCATATTTCAAAGACTTCACTACCCAAGAGATTACCAACATGTTAGCTGTTTACTTTGTCTTGTCCTGTCTGAAAGCAAGTTACTCACCAGTTTGACTGCTTCCTGTGCTGCATCTTTACTACAAAAAGTAATGAAAGCATAACCTCTGTTCTGCCCAGAGAGAGGATCCATCATGAGGCGCAGATCCCAGATGGGACCAGCTTTCTCAAACAGTGGGACCAGTTCATCTTCATAAAGGTCTCGGGGAATCTTACCAACAAAAACCTAAAAAGGAAGAGGACACTTGAAACAAAGCTTTTCCAGAAATCCAAACTTACTTGTAATACTTTAAAGTTCCTGGGAAAGGAAAAACATAGCAGCATAAACCAGTAGGGCACAAACACCACAGCCAATGCTACTGTAGGCCCCAAGCCTTCAACCCTCCTGCTCTTCATGCAAGGTGTTATGTACAGAAAACTTGGCTTGTTATTTGTTTGAAGATTGTGAAGGCTGTGAATTTCCACTATTGGAGAGGTAAATGGTCCTTACCTGGTTTTAATTTTGGCAGTTAAAAACAAAGACCTTACAGACTTATTTAGTTGGGTATCCAATACTAAAAGCAGGCCAAGCACTTCCTTGCTCTTGCAATGTTTTCAAATCACTAACTCAATCTTCCTTAGAAAGCTACAGAGAGGAAAAAAGTCTACAAAAATCCTCTTAATTGCACTTTTCAAACCTTTTGTATATACTATAATCCTGTTTCTCATCTGTATTTGTTTCACCTTACACTAACTGAATGTTTAGTATTTGTCAGAGAAAATCTCAAGTCCTCCTGGTTTTGTCCCTAACAAACTCAGGTGAACTTTTGCTCAGGAGTTCAATCTCTTCAGCTGAGGTTTTCCTGCAGACATTTCCCCCAGTTGTTTAATCATTGCAGCTCTCCACTGAATTCTCAAAATCTCTGACTCGCTAACACAAGCAAAACATTCCAAACACTCATTAAGATTAAATTCTATTTATTTTAACTTCAATTTTTTTTTTGGAGTGAAACAAACCCATGAGTCAACCTTTTCCATCTCAGCAAGGCTTTGCCACGGTCCTATCTAGCACTGAAGACACAGCAGAACTGCAGAACTAAAGGCCCTCCACCCGTCCATGGAGGCACTGAGAGAACACACCCACGAGGAGAACATAACTGAGGTGAAAAACATCAAACATGGATTATTTTCCTCTGAAGGAAAGCCAGCATCTTCAGATGTTTCTTTATGTTACACAGATATTCCTGAAATTCAGCTTCCAGGGCATTTCTTTCCTTTAGTTTAGCCTCTCTCAGTTCAACATGAATGTTGACTGACTGTGATTTTTTAGTTATTGCGGGGGAAAGGAACTAACTTATCACACTGAGTGAAAATTTAATGGCAGAGTCAACAGGTTTTCCCCACCACTTCCCTGGAAAGCTTAACATATTGCTCAAGATGGGTATCTCCATTGTCATTACAGCCAGAACATTCAATTCCAAAACTCATGACCAGTTTTTAAAGAGGAAAACCTGACACCATTATGGAAATGTGCAAGACAGGAACCCCAACTTGCTTCTAAATCAGTGACACTAACTGGTTTTCAAAAGTCAACATTAAACTTTTTTCAGATGCCACCAGCACAGTGACACAACAAAACAGAAGAGCTGAGGAAAAGAAAAAAAACCTCATCCAAACACAAAGTCTATTTTGCCAAAGATTTACCACCCTGAAAGCTCCTGTATCCTCCTTTCTCTGCAGTCTCATCAGCTCACTCTCTACAAACTTTACACCACTGACAATTCCACAACTGCTACTACAGCTCATTCAGGAGATCTCTAGGAGTTGAGAAACAGAATTAGGGATTTCATTTGAATACATTCCTATCTATCTGACCTACATCCCACTGACTTCCATTTATAACCTAAGAACTAGGTAACTGTGTGGGAGAAATCTAGATTGAGGGCAATTTGCTTTGAGCTTGTAAACTTAATACATTAATGAACTACAAGATCATTACTAGACACGACAAACAGCAGGTGAACATCCTGCACAGCTCAGAAGCAATGGCTGCAACAGTGGGGTTTTTTTGATGTGCTGATAAGCTTGAATAAAGTTGCTGAAATACCAAAGAATATAAGTATCAGATGTCTTGTTTCATTTTCTAGTTCCACTGAGGACTGTGGAAAACCCTTGGAAACTGATGTGTTCAGTGAAACAGCATCAGAGACCCTGACTCAGCAGGATGCAACTGCATCTCTTCTGGGGTTTTGCTGCAATCACTGACCATTAAACTGACTTGTTCCAGTTTTCCTTCCTAAAGGACCTGTATGAAGTACTCCATTACTTCTTCCTTATTACCATTTTAGAAGGTTGAATTTTTCTTAATTAAGCCTTTCATAATTAATTTCAGTTTCCTGAACAACTTTACAGAGCATTATTGAGGGGTGCAATCCACTTCTGCACTCAAGATGATGCATCCTTCAGTTACTCCCACAAACTGAGCCTCTTCTGTTGTCACTGCAAGCTAGCACAAGTGCACTGCAGTGCTGTGGTGCTTCTCCAAATCCTCTCTCCTTTAACAGTCCTCTTCGTGGTCAATTCTTCCTGAACATCAGATCTAACTGCTTAGCAATGCAGGCTGCACAGCTGCTTCATCTCATCCAAATCTAAAATCTTCACTTCAAATATAATGGAAGAGGACAAAAATTCTGGCACTGTGCATAAATCTTTGAACTCCCATTCTCCCAGTACAGAAGTGACATTCCATTTGTGTACTAAATCCAGCTTTGTCCAGTTTGTCCTGCCAAGTTTGTTCTACCACTAGATCTAAGTTAGAGGTATTACAGTGTCCAATTCTTGCCATTCCATTTCTCACAGATAAAGCAGTTTAAACTGCTCCAACACCTCCAGCGACATAACGTTGCCCAGAGTGCAGGTTAGCCTCACCACCCTTCCTTGACATTCTGTTACAAACTGGGACCCAGCACCCACAGAGGTGCAAATGCAATACAAACTTACCCTTCACAGAGCTAAAAGTCATCCTGCATTTGTGATAACAGCATTCAAAGATGTAAAGATGTAAACACAGACAGTGTTTACCATCCAGCATTATCCAACTGAAACATGGAGTGCTTGTCTTGTTTGCATGAAAGCTTCATCATCCCTGACTAGGAGTGGACTTCAGACCAGAATTTCCTTTTTTCCCCTCACTGTGACTGAATTCAATGAGGTTCTTGTAACACTGACTTCCCCTGTCTTGCCTGCACTTAATTTCAAGTGTTACTGAAATGGCTCTGCAGATGTTGCTATCTGCATCCTGCAGTGCTGCTGAACAACTAGTTTATGTGAACACAGTAGTGCTACTTTACCCAGTTTTGTACAAAAAAATGGTATTTAAGAATTCTTTTTTCCACACTGCCTGCATATATACTTTAGGGAAATGACTGTCCTGGTTGTGGATGGGCTAGAGTTAATTGTTCCTCAGCGGCTGGTACAGGGCTGTGTTTTGGATTCAGTATGAACAATGTTGATGACACACTGGTGTTTTGGTTGCTGCTGAGTAGTGTTTACCCTAAGTCAAGGACTTTTCCAGTGCCTCATGCTCTGCCAGTGAGGAAGCACAAAAAACTGGGAGGGAGCATGGCCAGGACAGCTGCCCTGACCTGTGCAGAGGGATATTCCACATCACAGAGCACCACGCTCAGCAGAGGAACTGGGAGAGAGACTCAGAAGAGGAAGCTGATCGCAGCTTGGCGTCAGTCAGCAGGTGGTGTGCAACTGTGCTATGAATCACTTGTTTTTCTTGGCTTTTCTCTTTCTCTATTACTATTATATTTTACTGTTTCAATTATTAAAGCTGTTCTCATCTCAGCCCATGACTTTTACCCTTGCCTCACTCTCCTCCCCATGCCCAGGGCGAGAGGCAGTGAGGGGCTCTGTGGTGTTTGGCTCCAGCTGAGGTTAACCCACCACAACGACAAACTACATTAGCACAGAACAGGCAGAGATTGACAAGTTCTGCAAATCAGTTCCTATCCTTCAGTTTAAGGACCCACTCTAATTATTTAACCCCACCACAGAACTCATTTTTCTTCATGGAATAGGAATATTCCTTTTGTGATGCTTCTAAGCATCTTCTTGACAATAACTACAAGAGCTTCGGCACCTCAAAGGGTGCAAAACTAATCTTTAAACTCAAAGACAATCAACAGGTTGAACATTTTCTTAAATCCAATCCCGTGGTTTGTAAAGAATCTCCAAAAGAATTCTTGTGTCAGATATACAACTGTGTGACTGACAGTATTCCGAGTGCTTAGAGTAAACTACCAAATCCTGCTAGGGACTAAAACTTTGGAGAATGGGTGAGGAAATACACAGCTCAAGCACACTCGGAAACAACTGAAGATTGCTCATAGCTTGCTAGTAAGATGCACAAGGTCAGTCATGACCTTAAATTCCACATCTGCTTTTACAGACTTTGTCCTTTGGAAGGAAAAAATATGTATTTTTTTTAAAGAAATCTTTAAAACTCTTCCAACCATCTTTGAACTTTAAAAAGAACAGCTGATGTAATGGGAGGTAAGAAAAGGCAGAGGAAAAAAGATCATGGAAATGTGAAGCAACACAAAGGAGCATGCACAAGCCCCTCAGGACAAGCTGTTATCAATGTTTGCAGATGCAAATGACAAAGTGAGTGTCAGGAGAGAAGGAAACTCCCTAATAACTACTTCCATTCTCATCCAGTAAACACCTCTCCAAGTATCAACATCACATGACCGGACTATAAGCAAAACACTTCACAGCCCAGCAGCAAGTCCTTCTGCAAAACAAACGCTCCAGATTAATACCAAATCCTACTACAATTATTTACCTCTCCCAAAGCTTCTGCACAGGTCTAACTTGGTCTTTATCACATTCCAAAAAGGCCCAGCTGCAATTAAAGCCCAGCCCCTTGAAAAAATCCAGGGACAGCTTCACCCACCGAATCCTTTCAACAAGTGAATGCTCAACACCCAGAAGCTTGTCAATACTTTAGGTTTACTGCACAATGTTCAAGTACATCTTGAGGGCTAAAGCTACAGTTAACGTAATAAATTTCAGTCTATGTTTTAAAGAGACAAATTAGTTGGTGTACAAATATTTACAGTAGAAAGATCTGATACATCTTGGGAGAAGGGGGGAAGTCTACCTAATATGCATCTTCTTGGGTTTCCTCAAAAATCAAAAGTTTGCCATCAGTGACAGCTCTGGCATCAACATTTCTGAGCTGGCACAAGCTACAAGCACTTCACTGCC